AACGGTTTTCGGCGTTCTGGGCGTACTTGTACTGGATTGATATCATGTGTCCGATCTGTAGAGGGAGTTATACGGGGCGAGCGAAAATGCCTGATCGGGCAATGAACAAGTAAGTGTGGCTTGAGAGAGATGAAACTTGAAGGATGAGTGGGAGTCGAGCGGAGTTTTGCGTTGCAGCAACGCGGGGACGTTCGTCTGGCAAACCTGCCGGAGTGCAAAGTGCAACAGTGGATGGAAGCACACGGTGTAGCTCACAAAAAGCTTACACCGTGACCGACCGAGACGTCACGTGGGTGAGACATTCACACCACGATGTATCCGGATAAAAACCTTAAAAGCACGACCGGAACTTTATGGGTTCAACAACCCAGCACATGACTGTATCCCGAGAAGTTTTTACTGACTTTGTGTTGTGTCTGTATTTCTTTCTCGCAATTTTTTTTGTCTTTTTTTTTTCATTAGTCTGCTCAAAGAGTACTTCCCGCGAGAATACGTCGACAAGAGCAAAGAGGAATTCAAGCGCAAAATGCATCGCAAGTTTATCATGCTGATTCGCAAACGGATTATTTGGAGGGATAGCTTCTGGGAGTCTTGAGTGCGAGTGTGGTGATCGCATTTCTTACTTTACCCTATTACCGTATCTATTACCTATCACCTGCTATCTATTGTTCTTTGCCTCCGCTTCTGTATCATATATAGCAAGCTAATGAAAATACCGTCACCCTCCACAACGCAGTCAGGAAAGAAAGAGCCGGTATGCCCAAGGCTGAACTGTATTGATGTGGTATACATGTGCGATATTCATCTGCAAACTACAGACGGAAAGAAGACACTAGACTGCTATCTATCGTGGTCAAGGCCGGCCCTTGTTTTAGCTCTGCGCGGTATGACTCCTAATCCAATTTCCCACATCTGTCGGGTTCCTCGTCTGGAGGTACACGCGTCCGGGCCCCACAAACTTACACACCAGTCCTTCCCCACTTCCCAACCCGCCAAAGAAGCTCTTCCCTGCCGACTGGGTCGACATACGGACCGTCGATTGCCAGACGACCAAGTGTCCGTTATCCACAATGTATTCTTCACCCGGTGCGAGATCGAGCGGGTGGATGGCGCCCAGGGAGGAGACGGCAATGAGTCCGCGACCTGTGAGGATGGTGACGCGCAGGCCTTCGCCAGAGAAGAGCGCTCCGCTGAGCGAGTTGGCTTTGGTGGCTTTGCTGATGCCTTCAGTTTTGAAGAGGACGTCGTCTTCGTCGCCCACAATGTATTCTTTGCTACCGTCCATTTCGAGGACCATGAGGTCGGCAAACTGCATACAGTCAAAAAACAAAAAAAAAATTAAGCATTTTGTATTTGTGCAAGGGCATTGATTGCCCAACACTTACCATAGGTGGGGCAAGAATCACCGTCCCAGTTCCCCCCTGAGCAGTCAGCACCGTCTGGGCCACATCTCCCGAACTAAACATATTCTTCAACTTAATCTTTCCCTCCAGCTTCACATTCCCGGAATGAGCCACCATCGATCCACTCTTGGCTTTGACCGTGACGCCATTATTGAGGGTCAGTTTGACCACCGAGTTGACATCGCGGTACATGACCTCGTAGGTCACGCCATCCATGCTGCCGGAATTGGTGCTGCCGCCGAGCTGGGACGGGCCGTGGGACCCGGCGGGGGGAGGAGGAGCGTAGTGTTGTTGGTGTTGCATGGGGGCCGCTCCATGCGGGTAGCCGGGGTATTGTTGGGGAGGTGCGCCGTACATGGGTTGTTGTTGCTGCGGTTGGTATTGAAGGTGTGGTTGCTGTTGCGATTGGTCGGGATAGCCGTATTGGGGTTGTTGGGGGTACATGGGTGGTTGAGCCATTGTGAGCAAAGAAATATGATGGTAATAGAAGCGACTGGAGAAGGTGCAAACTGTGTGCTGAGATTTATGTTTCGGCTGGGTCGGCGGGGGACCTTGGCGCCAACGCGCGGGCGGAGCAGCGGCGATTAGTGTGACTGACGCGTTGACGTGGCTGTGTCCACCCAACCTCACACGCATCCTGCGATGGCTCAACTGTGAAATGATTCTGATATGATATTGCAAAGAGAGACGCCTCGTTTGAGCATCGAATAAACTATCTACCCTTGAATATCTTCCGGAATGCACAGCTATCTATGGAAATCTACTTCAGCAAGATATACTTCTGCAAGTGCTCCGGGACGTGCTGCAGGAGACCCTTGCTGTCCAGCCACGATCTGCTGAACAGTCGGCTCTGGTACCGGGCCGCCCCGTCGCAAATCACAGTGACAATCTTTTTGCCCGGGCCCAGCTGCTTGGCCATCTCAACAGCCGAGACGACATTCAAAGCAGAGCTGGCACCAACAAAGACACCTTCCTCGTCCAGGAGCCGGTAGACCATCTCAATCGTGGCCGCGTCCGGAACGTGGATCGCATCATCGATCAGGTCCCAGTCCGGGGCCAGGTTGTCGGTGAGACGACCTTGTCCAATGCCCTCGGTGATGGATGAGTCACCGGTCCGTTCGAGAACGTTGCGTTTCTTGAGCGCATACAGGACGGAACCTGGGGGATCGGCAATGAAGACTTTGACGCGGCCTTGGGATTTGTCTTTGAGGAAGCGAGCGGTTCCGGCTAGCGTGCCACCAGTGCCCGTTGAGCAGATGAACCCGTCCAGGTTTCCACCGGTTTGACGCCATATCTCGGGCCCTGTGGTCTCGATGTGAGCTTGTCGGTTGGCAACCTTTTGTTGAGACGCAAGAGAGATAGGCATTTCAGTCTCGTATGCATGTGGAGTAGCGGGATGCTTTACTTGTGACCGACATCAACATACATTGTCAAACTGATTTGTCCACACGGCGTTCGGGGTCTTCTCCGCGTGCTCTCTCGCTTGGTGGTTGTAATTTGCCGGGTCAGTGAACGGCACGGCGGGCACAGCCCGGACGTCAGCGCCCAGCACCTTCAACAGATCAATCTTCTCCTGGCTTTGCGTGTTCGGCATGTAGCTAAAGAGAAAAGAAGTACGGCTGTTAGGGAGCAAATCTGCTTTAGTGATCCCAGAGGCGGCTCCGGCGCAACCTACATGACTAGCTTGTAGCCTTTCGACCGGCAGATATGCGCCAGTCCTATTCCAGTGTTGCCTGCCGTTCCTTCCACCACGGTCCCTCCCGGTTTCAGCAATCCTTGCTTCTCAGCGTTCTCGACCACAAAGAGCGCGGCACGATCCTTCACGGACCCGCCTATAAAACGCACCCTCATACATGAGAATTCCGCTCCACTGAACATTGACAAGCGCTTTACAGCGCCATCTTGGAAAACCTACCGGGATTCATCCACTCTGCCTTGCCCATGATGTCGCACCCGGTAGCATCGCTGACTTTGTTGAGCCGAATGAGCGGGGTGTTTCCGACGGCGCCCACGAGAGCTCGAACCACGGTGTTGTCGGTGCCAGTGACAGAGTAGTTGCGCACGAGGCTCCGCATACCAAGCGAGCGTGCAATAAGCGGAGGGGCGGACCGGAATAACAGCATGATGTGTGTGTGTGTGTGTGTGTGCGTATGAACCTTGCAAGTAGTTTAAAAGATGCAGGTACAGTGAAAATGGCAATCGCTTGCAGAGGTAATACCTTGGATGGGAAGGTACTGCATTTCTCATCGGGGACGAACGCGTGAGAATTGCGAATGTGGCTTTGCAACTGCGTCACACGAGCGGGAGGCCACCTCCCACCTTCCCACTCCGAAATGGCCATTACAACCACACAATGCCCGAAAGTCCTCATCTCGTTTGGAAAGACATCACGCTGTACCCGTGCGACGTAGCAAAATTGGAGGACGGCGAGTGGTTGACCGATTCCCTTATCGAATGGCATTACGAGTGGCTTGAAAATGCAGTGGGCGGGTCGTCGTCCACCATCCTGTTTCTGCGCCCTCTCATGGTCACCATGCTCGCTCAGTACGAAGGTTAGATCCATGTCAGAGTTTTCGTGGCGCACGACTCTCTATGTTTTCTGGACTGTTGATGTACGATGCCAGGCGATGTTTGGGACCTGCAGCCGGTTTTCCCACCCAGGTTGGACACACGGGAGATTGTGTTCATGCCCATTAATAACGGGTCAGGACTAACAGGTGGCGGAACGCACTGGTGAGCTTGACCGATGTACTTCAGCCGGAAGGAATCTGGGATGGATTTTGATGCCATTGCTCCGTGCCGCCGTTACATAGGAGTATGGTTATGTATCACGCTCCAAGCAAAATATTCTACTGCTTCGACAGCATGGGTCGCATGAACCAAAGCGCCGCAGAACACGCCATGGAGAAACTCACGGCCTTGTTACGTGTATCATCCCCAGCTTGTGAGCACGTCACGATCACCAAGCAGGCCAACTCGTCTGACTGCGGAGTGTATGTGTGTGCGATTTCCGAATTCATCACCCTGGAACATTTCATGCCCAATGCCACGGACCTTTCTGACCCGGCGGTTGTGCGGGAGGCGGTTGATGCGGTGCGGAAAAAATGGTGGGATGCGGCGTATATGTCGGAAATGCGGGCCAAGTTGAGGCGACTGATAGACGAGCTGCGAGAAGGCGGGCACATGGACAATGAGCGATGATATAACCACGAACTGGGTTATTTACAACAGTCCCTCACTCGGTTCCAAGAGAATCGTGCACGGGAACCCGCATCCGCGTTGAATTGCGCAGAACGGCGGCTTTTCCATCAGATGCTTCTGGTATTAAACGGCCTCTGCAGCCGGTCACAGTCGGGGGTTCATCCGCGTCCTCGTCCTCCCACGTCTACACTGATTTTGACGCTGCAGTGAGCGTCGACGGAAGTTGTCTTGAAGTGTGTAAGAGTACCTACTGCAAGCGTTATCCCTACAGAGCTTGTGGAAAGCTTTGCTACATCTGTAATGCACGTTGTACAGATGACAATACTGTATTCAACGTCAAAGGCATCTTTTAGTGATCACACCGTCTAAAATCAGAGGAAAACATCCCATTACATCGGCCTGGTGGCGCAATGGCAGCGTGTTGGACTTCGAATCCAGAGGTTGCGGGTTCGAGACCCGTCCGGGTCGCATATCTTTTTCTCGGAAGTGTTTGCTATCGTTTTTGGCAGCAGCAAAGCGATCACAAAACAAACGGAAGAAACGCAGGGGGAGGCTGAGCAAAGAGTTGAGATGTGAACAGAGATAGATTAAACGCTAAATATATTTCAAAAAAAAAGCAAACGCGGAAAGGAAAACGTCCCAAAAGTCAAACCCTAGCCGATTGAAAAACATGACGCCACAATCGCACGCAAAGACCGCGGAAGCGGATGTCAAACATGAGTGGGGAAGGGAGCCGGGGGGTGCTACAGCTTCAGCTACGCCTGGAGGGGGGAATGGGGAATGGGTGATGAGGGAATGAAATGAGGTTTATCTATTCTATAACGTGGCAGTGACGGGGTGTGGAGGAGTGGGATTGGGTGTTAACTTGGAAAGGGAGACGTAACCGAGAGAACGGGGGTTGGGTGTTGGGTGTTGGGGACGCTCTTCATAGTTTCAGATCCCAGCTGAAATCAAATGCCATCTCGCAAAACGACGTCTCGAGCGTAAACGGGTTCTGTTGATGTTGCTGCGGCTGCTGCGCTTGTTGTTGTTGTTCCTGTGGCGACTTGTCGAACCTGTAGCTCGTCGGCATGTCGAGCAAGAAAGATCGTCTGACCGAGGTGGACGCCGCGAGTCCATCGAGGACGTCGTTGGAGAAACTGCTACCGAGATCAAAGCTTCCAACGTCCAAATCGAGGTGAAGGGCTGTTGGAGATGATTTTGGAGTGGAGAGTCTGGTCGACGTCGGGGAGGTGGGAGACGCAGCGGCGACGGCGGAGAAAAAAGACATGGGCGGTGGTTCTAGCGAACGAAGTGAAGGTTGTGGGCGTTGTTGGCGTTTGGTGTCGAGAACGCGGAGTTTGAAGGCGGGCTGTTGCCGTTGTGGGGCGGGCGATGTTGCTGTTGGTGGGGGACTTTTTTGTGATGGGCGTGCTTTTGGCGGTTGAGACGGAGGTGGTGTGGGTGCTGCAAATAAGAAGATGACAACTATTAAAATGAGCGTTCCCTTTTCGATGGGCATATCACACTGTACCTTTCAGTTTCCTGTTCGAGGGCGATTCGGCGGCAGGAGCGATCTTCTGCTTCTGCTGCTGCTGCTGGGCAGAAGCCTCCGAATGGCGTACTGCGGGTGTGTTGGGTATGGGTTGCGGGACGGCGGCAGTCGCCGGGCCGCGTCTCCGTCCGAACACGCTCTTAAGGTTCAACAGCGAAGACTTCTTCTTCACGTTTTGCGGCTGCAGATGAGCTTGTCGTTCGTGCAGCGAAATGGACATGGCCGGCGCCACGGGTACGACGGTGCCGGGGATGTCGACCTCACCTGCTCTTCGTTGATCTTTAATGGGGGTGGTGATCTCCGGGGCTGGGGAAACATCGACGACCTTTTCCGGTTGCCGTTGCTGGGATTTGGACTCGGTAGATTTTCTCCCCGAGCGAACCATCTCCAGAGATTTCTTCAGCAAGGACGAAGAGGCCGAGGACGACGAGCCTGAGGAGACAGAAGAAGGCGTGGGTGACGGCGGCAGTTCTGCGGGGGCGTGAAAGGAGGCCTTCGAGCAAGGAGGTTCGGCAAGAAGTGACGTTGGCCTTTCCTCCGCAAAGGTAGGTCTGTCCTCGGCAGTACCCGTGGCTTTCGCCGCACGTTCGCGCTGTTCCATTTGCTCGATCAGCGTCATGGCGGGTTTGTTGCTGGATAGTCGAGACGGCTGGAGGGACGGGGCATCTTGGGCAGCAGCGGCGGCTTTCAGGCTGTCGAGGGATGCGGCGTGGCGAAGCGGAGAATGCTTCCTACTACTTGCTCGTGGAGGCGGTGGCGGGTCGAGGATTGGAAGCTTTGCTATCGGTTTGGACGCGACCGGTGACAGAGAGGCGACGGATTTGGTCGACGAGGAGACGACGCTGGTTGCCGAAGGGAGGATGGCATCCCGCGCAAAGGCGAGGTGGCCGAGAGGGACCTCGTCGTCTGCTTCATTATTGTTGAGCGCCATGAGGCTGTCGCTTTTGACTCTCCTCAGGTTCCGGCCCGGCTTGAGAGAGGCAACATTGGCGGTCACTGACTTTGGCACTTTCTTCGTAATTTGGTCTTCCTCGTCCTCGGATTCCGACGAGTAGGAAAGATCGCCATCGTCTTCGTCGTCCTGCGCTTCGAGATGAAATTTGAGCGCAGCGGTGAGGTCGACTGCGCTGTCCGATCCCTTGTGTCTCCACGCCAGGAGGGCTCCGCGGCGCTGTGGCCGCCCGCTTTTCCGGTCTGGTACGAGTTCCCGCTCCAGCTTTCCCTGTAGGAGCTCGTCGACGGGGTTTTCGAGGTCCGCGCTCTCCTCAAAGTCAAACACCTCGGCTGTGACGGCGGTGGGTGCTGGCGGCGCTGTCGGCTTCTCCAGCAAGCTGCTCCAGGAGGCGTAGACGGCGTTGAGGAGATTCTGCACGAGGACCATCTTGTGCATGTTGCATGAGCCGCGTTGTCGTTCCTGTTGCAGTTTCTGGGACGAGACTGCGGCGAGAGCAATGGGGTCGAGCGTGGGTCGCGCACGTCGCCGGCGACGCTGTGGCGAGTCACCACTGCTATTGCTGCCACTGCTGCTGTTGCTGTTGCTACTGTGTCGTTTAGAAGCCTGCGGAGGGGTTGATGGAAGGGCTCCTGCTGCTGCAATAGCCGCGGAGAGTGTTTTCGGTTGCATTTGCTTTTTCGCCTTCTTGGCAGCGGAAGAGGACGAGGCGGTGGTAGGGTCGGGGAGGGCGGCCGTCAGCGACGACTTGCGTTCGCCAAAGGAAAAGATCCCAGGCATGGCGAGAATGTTTCCGACAGTGTTGTTATCGTGCGTGATTGGTTTCTGCCTCCCTGCGTTGGGTTTGCTTGGGGGAAGTAGGTGCTTTGGTGTTCAGGGTCCAGGGTCCAGGGTCACGGCGGGGAGATATGTGTAGGGGTTTGTCTACTGCAACTTTCTGACAGTTGAAGAGTGCTGGTATCAGTTGGTGGCGAAAGGTTTTGGCGATATGAATGATGATTGACTCAATGATGAGGGTGGGGGGTCCGACGTGGTGCGTAAGTGTGAGCGAGTGTCTTTTGTGCAAGTGTGTGGGTAAGACAATCGTGGGGCCACGCACACGTTTGTTCGACCGTTGACAGTATGGCAGCGGGGGGTATTATCGATATGGTCTACTGAATAGTATGTATGATCTATAAAAGTCTATGAGGAATCGGAGTAGGTGTGTTGTCTCTCTCACTCGCAGAAGTTGAAAAAAAACGGCGGCAGGTAACAAGTGAGAGAGAGGAAGATACTCCGAGTCTTTCTGTCTGTGCAAGTCTATCGGGTTCTCTCTCTCTCTCTCTCTCGTTTTGAAGAAGCGTGTGCTTAACTTTCAAATGTTTATGGCTCCGGTCTTCTTCTTAGGATTGTGGTTAGTCGTAAAATTCCGTATCCTTAGGTCAGTCACGTCACGCTGTTTTTGTTTCAAACACATCCCTTTCCTGAGTTGATATGTGAATAATAAGCCAAACATGACGCAAACAACGTTAAAAATGTCCTGCAAAAACAAACGCCAAAAGAAGAAAAACGCAATCGGCCCTTTCCCTTTCCCTTTCCCATACCCGCTTTTCGGTTCGGCTTTCCAAGCACGCGGTAGGGCTACACATTTATCCCATATGTAGGCACCCCATATCCAGTATGCATGTATGACTCACCGTCTCCTTTCGTCGCGAAATAACAGTTTTGACATTAGGGAGTTTCAATCATTCGACGAAATATTCGCCCTTAACGTCCACTCCCTGAATATTACACACAAGATGACGCAGGTCGCCTCTGTCTGGAACTGGCATTCTTTTGCAAATAGCGCCGGTCGAAAGTCATGATGCATGAGCTGTTTTCGAAGGAGGTCAAATTGTCTTGCGGTATATTTCTAGAAGCCCGTGCCATTCAGCGTTTAGTGCACTGCCAAAGCGTCTAGCCACTTACCGGCATTATGGAAATATATTTTTTAAAAAAAAAAAAAAAAAAAAACACAATATATTCGGTTTTATAACAATTGACGGAAAAAACAAGCGATGCGCTGTGCAATCCGGACACCGCGCTGGACACCGCGCAGGACACCGCGACGCGGTCTGAAGTGGCTGTGTATTGCATTGTAAAGGAGACCGATCCTTGGTTCGAATCGGGCCGGCATACCACCGCGACCGCTAACACACGGCATCACGTCCACATCCACATCCACGCCCGCGCCGTTTCGCCATTCCGGAACGCTTCCAGAATTTCTAAGGCAAGTTGCACATTTTGATTGCCTGCAGGGGCTCTATCGGTGTGAGAGCACCGGCTGGTCGCGCCCTCATCTTATGGTCGCGCCAACGGCTGGTGAGGGTGGCCTGGAGTATGGCGCTGCGCTTGTCGCTCGGCGCAGTGTAAAAGAATGCATGCAAGCGCTGAAAAGCCCGTGAGTTCTCGTTCTACCGGAAGTAGGCGAGCTGTGGGAGTAATGCTTCCACTGATCGGAGTCGCTATCACCTTGGCTTGTGTGTGTCCATACTTGTGGGGTGCCTGTGCAGGATTGTTATGTGCGGATTTTGGGACTTGTTTAAGGGTACCGGTTTTCGGGCTGGCTGGTCGCGCCCTCATCTTATGGTCGCGCCAACGGCTGGTGAGGGTGGCCTGGAGTATGGCGCTGCGCTTGTCGCTGGGCGCAGTGTAAAAGAATGCATGCAAGCGTTGAAAAGCCCGTGAGTTCTTGTTCTACCGGAAGTAGGCGAGCTGTGGGAGTAATCCTTCCACTGATCGGAGTCGCTATCACCTTGGCTTGTGTGTGTCCATACTCACGCCTCGAGTCCATTTACATGATTCATTGGAACACGAAACACGCGAACGAATTTCTGACAGTATTCTTTTTCTTATTGTTTTACTCACGCCAGATGTTATTGAGTTCATGGGAGCTACTAACGACGACAACAACAACAACAGCGGTCGAGGTCGAACGCTGGGACTTTCCTCGAGCCGCTTTTT